TTTATATAATTTTGAGAAATCGTATCATTTACAATCGCCACTAAATCCTAAAAATCGATACGAAAAGCCTTTTAAACACTAGATATATAAATATTGTTTGACAAAGAATATATAACATATGTCATAGCTTATTGGTGAAACATTTAATATAAGAGTTTGAGGTTGCATGTTCGAATCTTGTAAAGATCATACGCATGTTTTTTTTTTTTTTAAGAAAATGAGTTAAACATTTATAGCGATTGTAATCGCTACAATAATCACCACGATTGGATGTAGTTTTTCGTATCGATTATTGAGGCCAACCCCAGCGATATTGAAAACCACTACTAAAGGCTAAGGCAACGGAGGATATTGTATCGAATGACCATTCGTTGGGAAAGCTTTTTGTTGCAATTACAATCGATACTAAAGGTTAAAATAATCGCTACAAAAAGGTTATTTTCTTATAGTGTAAAGATCAGGGGCTTGGGAGGTTTTATCTTGGCACATTCACTTCCCCCGAGCCCTCTCTGGGCACGCATTAGGGTCGCACATTTGTCTTGTGCTTCATCAGCTAAGCTTTGCACAAAGTTGAGTTGCTCCGTCAACCCATCCACCGTTGAAGCAAGCCTATCCATTTGTTCGGCTTGTTTTATCACAATATCCTTGAGTTTGGGCAACCTTTCTTAGAGCATTTCCCACTGTTCGGACTTGCCTTCAAGCCAAGCAAGTCATTCTTCCAACGTATACTCAGGCATCTCGTCTTCTGACATCTCTACGACAACCTTAACTCTGATACCAACTGTCACGGTCCGAGTGTTCAGACACCGGATCATGCGGTGCGCTCTTGTCTATTGGAGACAATGACGCAAGACTAGAATGAAAGAGGTACAACAACACGGACTAAAGGTATCTCAAGAAAGCACATGTTAACAACGGGTGTAGAGTCGGGGCTTGTGACGGCTGATACTTCGAAGCGGGAACAAGCGAAACCGACGAGATGAGGGCGTCTTTGAGGGTCTCTTGGTTTGGAGGGGATGCTTTAAAACAAGGCAAGCACAATATCTATAAAGGCTTAAAACAACGCACAAGTCTTAAACTAATAGCAACGAGGTAGGGAGCTTTGATTCATTAACCATCACTCCCTAAAGAGCTTTATATTGAATACATGGAGAATTACTAGTGAACGCTACAATGACAGTAACACAATAATTCTACCTTAGAGCCTAGAAACCAAAAGAAAAGACTTAAAAGACAAGACATAAGGAAAATACAAGTAAAAGAAAGAAGAATACATAAGAAAGGGGTTGGATTCTAACACTAGGCCACCAGCCACAAGGCATGGCTGTGCCACAAGCCTAGCTTGCAAGTGCGAGAGCATGCTTGCGGGCTAGTGCGCCTAGCCGCTCGCGCGCAAGTACCAGCACGTAACAATGCTTGGTTAGGCTGGCAGCCCTTACTACTAGCTTACGGTAGCATTGCCCAACAACGCACATCGACCTGCAATGGTGCGTGGTCTACTGATGTGAGGCTGCTACTGCGTGGGCAGACTGGGAGGCCCAGCCAAGGGACCAGGCACCAACAAGGTAGCCTTGGTGCCCAAGGCAAGGCACTAGCTCTCACGACTCTATTAGAGCCGGTTTTGTGGAGTGGTTAGCTTGGGGAGCAAGGAGGCCATGTAGTCCTCCTTGTGTTCCTCACCTACCCTTTCTTTCCCTTTATGCCACTTGTTGATTGCTAATTGAATTGTAATTATTAATTTAATTTGGAATTAAATTAATCATTCATTTTCTCATTTCAACAACTCTCCCACATGGAAAGTTAATAGAAACTCTTGAGAGCGTTTCCCTATGAATACCAACCTAGGGTAATTCAAAAGGAATCTCCTAAATAGTCAGAAAGCCTTAAGTTTGTAAAACTCTAGTAATTTTGGTCTAGATCCGTCTAAGCTACGGGGTAGGTGCTGGTTTGGGATACGAGGGTGTGAGACATTGGAGGTCTTGCATTTTTTAGTCTTGAAGTTTTTAAGTCCGAGCTCGAGATACGAGCGAAGCAAGGGTGAATTAATCTTTCTCTCTATTCTCTTTATGTGTTTATGTTTTATTAATTGCATGCTATTTTACTATGTTGTAATTATTATGCATGCAATCCATTTTACGGGTTTTGTTTTCGTGCGGTGTTGGACACCGCAAAACCCTACAGCATGGCATAACGAAGGATTAAATTATATCTAAATAATGACATTTGCTTCACATAAAATCTAAAATAAATTTTCTAAAATATAAAATTGTTCATTATAACTATTACATGTGGTTAGTTATATACTACTCCTCCCGTTTTTTTTATAAGCTAGAGTTGATATTTTCTGTTATTCATATATCATCATTGACTTAATTTTTTTTACCAATATATAATATATAAATATGATCGTAAAATATTGTTGAATTTGTCATAATGTCTACTTTTATAAGTTTATTTTTTCATAATTATTATTGATCTCTCATAAAATATATTGATGGTCAAAATTGTGTCTCGACAAATGTGCAAGTTTGACTCTAACTCTCTCTCTCTCACACACACACACACATGGTACTTCATAGTTGAATAATTGTTGTGTTAAATCCTTATATTTGTATAATGTTTTTATAATTTCATTTTCGTTATAATTATTTAACAACTGTGCACTATTGCACAGGGTTTAACCTAGTTAATTATAAAAAGCTTTTCAACAAGAGATATTGATACTTATAGTTATATATTGCTCACATAAATTTATTAAGTGATGAATATATACAAAGTACATATATTAATGAAGCAGCATTTTATTACTTTGTTTAAAATAAATGGGAAATTCTACATTGTGGCCTCAAGGTTCCAAGTTTTCTATTTGGAAAACACACTTTTTTTAGATTCTCTTAAGTGACACCCAAGTTTTGAAATATTAACCACAGTGACCATTTTTAGGTTTTTGGCTACCCTTTTAGTTTTTGGTTAATCATATATAATTAATTTTAAAAAAAACCACATGGCAAACCCCACTACCACCATAATATCGCCGGAACCCTAACCCACAAGCCCCAGACTTATCACTCCCCTTCGCGTCAGCCAAACGATCGGCCCAACCACACCCCAACACCTCTTTTTCCCTTCCCCGGTCAGCCACTCCTTTTCCCTTCCCCCTCCCACGATTCGACCCCCTCCCTTGTCGGAACCGCCGAATGAACTCCCAAAGCCTCCAACCTAAAACTCAAACCCTCACGAGTTGGGGGTGGTTTGGGTTATGGGGTTTTAGGTTTAGGGTTGCTGGCTCGCGGTGAAGGAAGGGGAGGTCGAATCGGGGGAAGGGTTTGTGGTTATGTGGTTGGTCGGGGAACGGAAAGGGAGTGGTTGGGGTTGGGCTGGTCTGCCGACTGACGCAAGGGGCGGTTGGGATGTGGGGTTAAAGTTTTGGTGAGGTGGTGGTGGCTAGGTTGGTGATTGGTTTTTTTAAAAAAAAAAATTAAATTTTATTGCTTATAAAATAATTTTTTAATATAAAAATCAAAAGTTAACCATTTTAATCATAAAGGTTAGCCATAAAACCTAAAAATGGGAACTTTGGTTAATTTTCAAAACTCAGGTGTATGCACTTAAGATAGTTGAAAAAAAAATGTGTGTCTTCAAAATAGAAAACATGGAACCTTTAGGCCACCATATAGAATTTCCTAAAATAAATTCTCAATGGTGACCCCCAATTTCTGCTACGCAAATTAAACATAGTGACCCTCTTGAAAATAGATTATATGAAATGACTCTTTTTAAAAATTTTATCTCACTTATAACCTTATTTCATTAAATTGTAAACAAAAATTGACTATGGTTGGATTTTTATTTAAAAAAAAACAAAAACTAAAAAATTGTACCTAACCACCAACCCAGCCAACCCCACCACTACCTCTAACTCCTCTTGCGAGCCTCCCTCTCCCCCTCCCCTAACTACCAACACCTAGGGTTTCTCCGTTCCCCCTGCAGATGATCCTCCATCTCTCTTCTCTTCCCACCGCAACCACAACCCCCCTAGATTTCTCCTATGCACAAACCAATCTTAAATAAGGGGTTTCGACTTAACCACAACCACTACCCGTTTAGGGTTTCGACTAAGGTGGGGCAGTTTGGGTTTGATTTGGGCGGTGGAGAAAGCTAGGGGTTGCGATGGGTGGAGAAGAGTGGTCGACGGAGGGGAAAGCTAGGGGGTTCGATCTAGACTTAGGTGGGGTTTGGGGTTCATGGTGGGCGGTGGTCGAGGTGCAGCAGGCGTAACGTCACCGGTTTTCGAGGGAGCTTGGGTAGCGACACCGATGGTCGGAGGAGTCTGGGGAAGTGTCGCCGGGAAAGGAGATGGTGGCTTGGCAGGTGGGGGTGGCTGGTTTTTGGTGGTTGGGTTAAATGTCGAAAAAAAAAATCTAACCACAGTTAATTTTTATTTACAATTTAATAAAATAAGGTTATAAGTGAGATAGAATTTTTAAAAGGGTCATTTCGTATAATTTATTTTCAAGAGGGTCACCATATGTACGTAGAACAACTAATGGACAATTAATGTGTATCAGTGTATGCTCTAAGTTGAATTGAACTCAAAACTAACCCAACTCAAAGTCGACTTGAACCCAAAAAATCTCTACCTTACATGATCAAACTCAAACCAAGCTGATCCAAATCCAACTACAATCCACACAACAATAAATAACCAGACCCGAGCAATTGATATGACCCCCAATCCCCCATAAACAAATATTGAAATATATCAAAAAGCAACATACATAAGATATAACTGCTTTGTTGATCTCTTAGGTTAAACATGAATTACAGTACCCCCTTTACTATGAATAAAATCAACTTATATTGTTAGCTCATCATAAGAGAGGGTTTAAGAAACCCCTTCTAGAGTTAGTTTGCTAAATTCAACCGTACCCTTAACTATATGTTTCTAAGTTGGAGAGCTGACCAACTAATCTACTTCCTACCTCAAAATTATAGCTTGATAGCAGCAATGTTACAACTTAATTAATATGATGACTTGCTGTTGAATTGCATCTCACTCGAGTGAGTAACTAACGCAAAACAATTACAGTGAACGATCAGTGAGTCACACACAAAACAATTACAGTAGACAATAATTCACAAGCTACAAATCTATTCGGAAAAGTATACTCAAAATATAAAGAACCAGATTTTATTATTTATATTTCACAAAGCAGCTCAATCAAATACTAAATTTACAAACAAAAATACGGGTCTGAATGTGTGATCTTGCTTCATATCCAGGAAATTTCATATAGAGTAGTATCATAATCTCGAAGTCCTAAGAAGTCCTCCACTGCAATTCAATCTGAATGCGGCCATTTTTCGAGTCAATGAGATTGTAACTTTGATTGATTCTTCTATTACTCACCACATCTGCGAGATTAATGTCAACATATCCCAGGTTTTCCTGTTTGCAAGTACAACAGGGGTATGAGAATTGCTGTAATTTGGAGGATTTGTTACACAGCATAATGGATTCAACAACATGAGCCAGCATGAAGCTGAAATAAAATTACAATGCACATACCTTTGGATGAAGTAAACCTATTCTGGATGAGACACTATGCACTTCCACGTGCAGCTTATCATCATTTGGAGGTTCCTCCAACATAAACTCGAAATCCTCTTCCCATCTAGGATCTCTATTTTTCTTTATCGTCTGTCAAAAACAAAGAATAATATGTTCATAATGGAGGAGGAAAAATAGCAACAAACAGCAAATTCCACACATTAACCACAAAGTAACTTCGCCTATCCAGGTGATCAATTACATCGCATTTTGTGTGGACACTGAATCACTTGTTATCATCTCCATTGTGTATCATCTAATATAGTTCTAAGGCTGACCTTAAGCAAGTTCAGTTAGATCAACTTTTGTTCTATCTCCACAATTACATTTTGCAGGAAAATAAACATCTATATAATTTTCGAAAGCTACAAAAGTCTGTTTATGTTACAACTTGAGCAGCAAATAATGCTGAGAGCAGTGTTTGGCAAAGTGCTGAACACCTAGTCACTTAGATTTTAGGCACAAGGTGTTTCAAAAGGTTTACAAAGCTAATTTTTGGGATATTGTTTTTCGAAAGCTACCAAAGTCTGTTTATGTTACAGCTTGAGCAGCAAATAATGCTGAGAGCAGCAACATTACTTTGACAGCAAATAACTAATTTTAGCTTCCAATAGCTGATGAGCTACAGCTAAGTAACAACTTATTTTGCTAATTAAGCCCATACTACAATGTACAATCCCTTCTAAGCACTAATCAACAAATTATAAACCCCGATATTTCGTTTTTGGAACCTTACAGCTGCAACATTATAATATCTATAGATCCAGTTATAAAGACAAATGACTACAGAAGATGAGAGGTGAGCAATGATAGCATTGCAAGAAATTTTTGAATCAAAGGTCACAACTAAGCTTGTCACTGATCTTTTTCTTTGGAAATTGCAAAGTTCAGATCAACCTAGGTAAGCTTATGCTATTTTTTAAATCAAACCAGGGGTTCTCCACTGGAATACATCAGTTACATGGATATCTTGGCAAGTTGGCATCCAATGATGATGTCCCTAATCCAGCCAAGAAAGGCTGTATTCTTAGTCGGGCTCTTGGCTACCTACCACTCCAACATGCAATCGCTTCCCTTTTTTAAATTTGTGCATAACGAAATTAAGTAGCTATAAACATGTAAAGGAATTGAACAAGGCTATAGTTCACTTCAACAAAACGTGAAAACTTTAATAGATAATATATAACAACACCCCCCCCCCCTCCCCCCTAATATACTTGTTGAATCTGTTTCTTTTTCCACACCAACTACCGACAGTATGAATGTTCATGTGTTACATTAGTTACATATATAGATGCTATATGATGAAGATATAATTTAAAACAGCAATAGTGTAAATTATCCGGTTTAGCAGTAAGAATATGAAAATAAGGAAGCACTTTAAGCTTTTGCAGAGAGTTGTTTGGTGCCGTACCTTAGTCTTTCTTTCTTCGCCTTTCAATATTAGGCGAACATAAGGATTTGTGTGGTGCTTTCCTTCAACATCTTGAGCTTGATGGACAGTGACTACAAGTAAACCACCACCATCAGGTGTCCCTTCTGGAGCCTTCTCAACTGTTCCAGAATCCTCAGGATCATCAGGCATCTCATCCTCCTTAAATGGTTTGTATGTAACTTCTAGAACAAGCTGTCCACGTGACTTCTCATTTCGAACATCTTCAGGATCCATGCTTTTCAGGAGCTCCAAAGTCATGACTTTTGTTTCTTCTGGTGTAAGATCTTTCACCGGAACAACATTTATTCCCATCTTTTCATGGCTGCCGAACTAATTTACAAGGAAGACCCAATTATGTTAAGTAAATTTTTATTTGTAAACTTTAATTGGCAACATTAGCGTTCAGTTATATACCTTTTCCCAGTCATAGACGAAGACCTCTAAAACTTGAGTCTGTGGATCTCTGATGGACATAGAGAATTCTTCATTCCACTCAGGGTTAAGATTCTTGTACTTTACAGTAGTTTTCTTTGAAGGAAGCTTATCCTCTGTAAGTTTCAATTTGACATATGGGTCAGATGCTCCAAGAAGATCTTTCTTTTTTAGATTCATAGCTTTCACAACCTTGACATGTATAACTCCAACAGGTTTCTTCCTAGCCCTGCAAAGTTGGAGAAAGCACATTATATACAAAACAAAGGTATGCAAACATGCAACCACTTTTTTTTTTTTTTTTTTTGAGGCAAATAGATATATACAGAGACAGAGAGGAACATAGAAAGAGCAACAGAGAAGAGAGGACTTTTGAAAGAGACAAGTCACTTACTTTCCAGGATCCAATATAGGTATTTCAAGGGTCTTAGGCCATAAGTACATGTTGGCTACCTGTTCTTTAATTAATTCCTGCATACAGTACATAAGTGGTGAGAGATGAAATTTATTTTTGAAAAAAAAAAAAAACGTACTACAGCCGAAGGAGGGAAAAAAATGTTTCCAAATTTAAAAGATATTTAGGGATCAGGAGAATGATCCTTCATCATCAAGAAAAGTGTTAAAAGATCATGTTTTTCTTAAAATGGACCACCAATGACATTGGTGCCACTGCATATAGGCATACTTAAACAGAATTCAAGAATGAAGTCGCAAAGGAAATAAGTTGATAACCCCTATAACTAATTTCTAGTTTGAACCATCAATCAGAAGAGATCAGTCTATGATCAGATCTGGTTACTATATACCAACACGAAGGGTGTATCATTGTGGCTAGATGTTAGGAATAAAGATTTAAGATATTTCTCTTACTTCAGTTTTAGGTGCAACTGAACTTTTATTAGTGGATAGGCTTGTGCCTTGCCTTAGTCAATCATTGTCCTTTCTAGTTCAATAGGAAGGAATCAATACAGAAGGAATCAGGAAATCACTAATGTATTTTGTTTAGGAAGAAAGGCAATCCAGAAATCCATATACTTGCAACGGCAAGACTGGTGAATAAGTTAATTTCCAGTCGAATTGAAGATACAAACAATTTAGGTTGCATACCCCCACATAAAGAAGGATTTGTTTGAAAACTAGTTTACAACTTTGCAAGTTGGAAGTCAATATTGATACCATGGAGTTTATTAAACCAAATTATTGGCCCAAGCTTATTGAAGCAGCATTTTGCCAATACAAATGTACATGCCTTTGAAGTTTAAAAAAAGAAAAAAAGGTTACATCTATTTTTTTTTGTTATAATGGATGCAAGAAAGATCAAATATTGAAAGTAAAATCAACAAGAAAAACACACACAAATTTATGTGGTTTACCAACATGTTGGCACAGACAGGCGAGAATAATAGTTTTTTTGATCTTGAGGAAAACAAATTGATTGTCTCTCAGATTTCTAATGTTACTTATCTCAGAATTCACTGACTAGAAATAAACACCAGGCCCACTCAATCTTAACTTGTGTTTGAAGATCAAAAGGCCTTTATAAAGCATATAATGGGGCTAGGGGAGAGGTAGGATGATACATATTGGAAAATGTGAGAGACGAGCCACATGGGGGAGTAATAATGTTCCACAATAACAACACAATCAAACGCATGTCAAAACAACCTCACTTAGCATATAACCTCCCCAAAACGCCATAAAAGCCAAATAAAAAATCACCAAATAATTTAATTTCCTCTTCTTTTCTTTTATCTTTCTCCTTTTTTCTCTTTATTTTTTTTTTCAACTATAACCCCTTATCTTCATCTTCTTCTTTTTCAAAACTCTTTTTGTTCATCATTTTTGTTTTCAATTTAAAAAAATTCAATTTCAAAATAACTTTGAATTTCCATTGAAAATCTCCTTCATTGTACCTCAAATAGAACATTTATCCAAATAAAAGTCACAAATCTTAACATAAACCACTCCCCCAAGCTAGGCCAGGGAATTGAGGCTAATGGCTTTTAATATGGCTAATTCAATGAAAGGTAAAGCTCAACATGGGTAACAATTAGGGAGCAAATGCACAAAAACTTACTTCTGGATGCTCAAATCAAGACCTTTATCATTTCAATCATGCACCCATCACAACCAATTTATTAAGAGACTTGAGATAAAATCAAGACCAATGTTGCACTAGGAACTATCACACACACAAAAATATATTGTTAGAAACATGACAGTCAATTAGTCAAATTTCAAAAACTCACATGGCTTGGGTCTACAAAACTAACTAGCTAGACTAAAAAAGCGCAAAACATGTTACCAAAAACCAATCAATCGCATGCTACATTTCCATGTAGTTATCAACGTATAAAGCAAATCGGCCAAAATAATAACTAAGGTGAGAAGAAGCTCAAAGAGTTTTATCTAATCCGTACACAATTCAAAGTCAACCATGCAAAAGCGGCATATGAATGCATAGAATAAAGCAAATAAAAAAGAATACAACTAAACTAAGAAAGCAATACATGTTTTTTGTTACACGTAAAATCCCATCCCTGATAGACAATAAAAATTTAAAGAAGACAAAGACATACCTGAACAAATCTATACAGGCCTGGAATCGCCATAGCATCTGCACCTAACAACTTCAAGCCAAAGTCGACATGTGGCTGCAGATTTCCCAAATCCACAGTTCATTTTGTGAGCCAGCAAAATGTAAGGAAAACATTCACAAATAACAAACAAATGTTGATTTGTAGTTCACAAGACAGCCGAGCTGCCAAGGGCACGCCTCATCGGTTAAACAGTAAGAAATATTTCTAGAAAGTGACTTCTTTAGAATAAATATTGTGATTTTATGAGGATCCAAATATAAATGACTTTGCAAGAGGACTATTAACATCTAGGTAAAAATGCTAAGGGTGGAGGTACCAGGAACTTGAAATCACCTACCTTCTCCATAAGAGAAACATAAATATTGGCAAAGCAAGGAAATGCTGGCACCAAAGGCTTCAATGTAATACGAGGATGAGCAAACACTTGCAAATCGACCACCTGAAGCATATGAGCTATATTAACTTTACTGATGGAATCACATTTTACATTAGTCCGCAGGTAGTTAAACAGCACAGTTTGAGGAAGGGAAAGGAGGAGGAGGAGGAGGGGGGGGGGGGGGGGGGGGGGGTTGCCTTATGGATTTATTAATACCTGCACAGTGGCTTTCAATCCAAATGCTTTTACTGTCACGTGAATGTTAGGGTTCCCTGCCCATTTTAATGCTGGTTCCATAATCAACTCTTTCTCTTCAGTAGTGTATACCTTCATTCCTGATATTATTTCAAGAAACAGTCACTGATACATTTCAGGGAATATAAAAAAAAGCTACATTACCATCTCCAGATTGATAAGCTCAACAAACATTGACTCATGGAGCAATTCCAATATGCCTTGTACAAGATTATGTCCACGGTCCATTATATAGAATTGTAATATATGCTATCTTACATTCATACCACCTTAAGCACATGTACAAACAACTGATCCACAAATGCTTGCATGATATGTAGCAATAAATTGTACAAAGGTAGAACAGTGAGAACACTCTTCAGCAAATCAGCAAGATAACCCTTCATTCGTTAAGGATGATTGAAATTGTACATGATATATCTGACCATTCTTCCAGCATTCTATCTTAACTGCAAGAATGACATATAATGAAAGCTCATTGTAACCTGTGCAACACATATCTTTTATTATTTTCATCTCAACTGCATAACCGACATTCACAAAGTTCCATTGAAACATTTTGTTCAACTTATATGTCTATAAAACCTGATTCAATTCCTGTAATTCCTAATAAGTAATAACTGAACTAGAATTTTCACTTATTTCCAACAAGCAATCTTAAGTGAAAAGTACTTGAGGGACTAAGCCATGTTTCACTGTACACAATGTACATACAATTGTAAGAGAGAACAAGTAATCCAACCTTGGAAAGTAGGAGGCAGGGTGCCTAAGCTAAGTGTTTCAAAGTCAACTGACTCAATTTTGTACTTCGGAATGTGCTCGGCAATAATGGGCTTTGATATATCCCTTGCAGTCTTGCAAATCGCCTACAAAAATCGTTAAATCGAAGACATAAGATTCGTCAGGTAATTGCACCTGAAAAAGCTTCTAAAACAAATTGCATTGACGGTAAGCACCTTATCTAGATAGGGCCACATATGCTGTATGAACTTGTTAAGCCAATCCACCTTCACAAAAGCAAATAGAAATTAGCTTCACTTATGAGTAATGGCCCTAAACTTTAGGCAATTTAGGATAATAAGTATCCGAGAACAAACACATACACGATCAAAGTCTGGATTTTTCACCCAAAGTGGTATCTCAGGAAGCACTCTCAGCAAGTCCTTGGCATCAAGATCAGCCAATGAACGAACTTCGGGATCCTAAGAATCAATTAAGATTCAGATGAGTTTGTAGTTAATCCAAAGCCAAATAAATCATTAGTAATAAAGCATACACAAACATCACCATCAACAGTTCTACAAATTTTTGTCACATTGCTTGATGATATTTTTCTGTAGTGAAATTTTAGACTTTATACAAAAATTACTCAACCCCACCAATATATATTACATGTTAAACAAGATTAAATTAATTTTCGGAAATTGCCTTAATTTTATGCAAAGTTTATATCACTAATAAAAAATTTTTAATTTACAGTATTAACATAAATAAATTAGCATTTCTAATCAGCAAAAATTGAAAATTTGCAGAAAATTAAACAGAGAAAATTTAGAGGCAAACCTTGACATCAGTAGACTGGAAGAAGATGAAGAAATAGTACCCAATTACAAGCCCAACACAAGATCCAAATCCAAACCCAAAAACACTCAAAATTGTGTTCAAAAACCCCATTTTTGTAATCACCTTCCAAAATACACACAAACCCAGAAATTTTCTCCCTTCAATTTGATCAAATCAAGCAAATCCACATAGTAAAAAAAGAGGGAATACTAAAAATTGAACCAAAACCCTCAAATCTTACAGATTTCAATGCTCAAATATTATAATATGAACAGAATCTCAAGAAAAAGGCACTTTACATAATCAATTAATGAAGATATTACATTCCTAAATTAAGGCCCATTAACAAGTTTACTACTGTAATGTAGTAATGAGTATAGCATCCACTCATATACCTCAAAATTTTGAAAGGGAAATTTGATAAATAATTGCAGGTATTAAATGGTTCCACGTACAGTTGGTGAAATTGGATTTAGCAAAAGATTGGTCGATTCAAAAAAAATTGGTGGGACATTGATTGAGATGCTAAGTAATCCAAAAAATAATTAATTAAGGGAGCTTACTAATTGTATAGTTGTTGACTAATTAGTGTTATGTGGTGAGAGAGGGTAGTGACAAATTAGCCAATATAAAATGTGATTGTGATATTAGTGGATAGATTGATTTACAAATCAGAAAACTACAAGTAGGCGTAGTATGAGTGGGGTTGACCCCACGTTTTTTATTTCTTGGGAATTTCCAACTTCCTGTCGGCATTATACTTCTGAATTCTAACATTGTACGAGTAACTATAAAAACGGATGGATTTTAACTAAAAGCATGTGTCATTAAAAAGGTTAGAATTTTTAACTTCTATTTTTTTTTTTCCCCTTGAAATTTTGCCTTTAACCAAAAAAAAAAAAAAAAAAAAAAATTTATTAATAATACAACCTTTACGCCCTTCTTTTTAAATAATACAACCTTTGGATTATACTTGAATATTACAACATTTGGGAGTCTCAATTTTAAACAAGACAAACCAAATGCAACCTGATAATCAAGTTAACAATGCTCCACCCATCCCACCACCACTGAACCACCCCAATCCCCATCCCCATCCCCACCACCAAAACCGCCGGCTCCCCTACCCATCGCTGCCAACCCCCACCACCACGCCAAAAGTCCACATCCCACCACCACGCTGAAATACCCACCTCACCACCACGCCGAAAATCCCTTTCCTGACCACCGCTGCTAAATCCCACCACCAAAAACTCCCAAACACGTCAATTCTTCACCTTCCCGACCACCGATTCCACAACTGCATCCCCGATTGACCACGGCAACCCCAATTACTCCACATCTCGACCACCGATTCCACAACTGCATCCCCGATTGTGAAGTAATTAAATAAATTGTAATGTTTTATTTATAGTATTTTAATTATTTATTTTAATAAATTTAAAAATATTTTGTAAAGAAAAGTTTATTTAATTAATTATTTTATTTAAGTTGGTGATTAATTTAAGAAAGTTTTATTTTAGTAAAGTTTTATTAGGAAAGGGATCAGGAAAGATTAAAAATGGAAAGTTTAGGAAGAAGGGTTTCTAGAGAAGGGGTATAAATATTCAACACTTGGGAAAAATCAAACTTTGCCCAAAGTGGAGAAAACCCGAGGTAAACTTTCTCTCTGTAGACACCTAAAAATAATGTCTTCCCATAACCAAACCCGATGATGAACAACCTTTCATCCCCATTATTGGTCGGGTTGAGTATTTAATATTTGGAGTGCTTAAATCCATGTTCTATTCAATACATTTCATAAACCAATCCATTTCCTAGCTCATTTCCCTAAACCATAACTTGTTTTCCTCTTTTCGTGTCCACATCGCAAAACTGAGAGAAACTGATTTTTTTGACTAATAATTTTGATCCAATTATTATTTGGTTAGATAGGCCTTGAAATAAGCTTTCCAACCATATATCATAAGACCAATTCCGATTTAAAACGAAAAAGATATGAGCAAAACACTAAACTCGGCCCAAAACCGACACCCTTCTACTAAAACGGCCATATCTTAAAATATAAAAATTATTTTGACCTGATTCTAATTGGGTTAGAAAGTAGACTTGATAATATTTCCAATTACATATATATGCCTTATTTCGAGTTACGGATCAAAAGTTATCGTAGTTACAAAAACGCATAAAAACTGAAACTACCGCGCACAGTGTAAAACTGCCGCGTCGCGGGGGATGCCGACGTGGCGCGGCAGCTGGTACTATGTCACGGAAGTATGTACCGTGACACGGTGATTTTCCGCGTCATTCCCCACGTAATGTTTTCACCGTGACACGGTGTACTGTACCGTGCCACGGTGGACCTTGCCGCGTCGCGGTGTTTTTTGCCGTGTCGCGGTACACACACCGTGACACGGTGCTTTTCCTCGTCACTTCCATGTGCTTTTTTTCACCATGACATGGTGCATTGCATCGTGCCACGGTGTATTGCATCGTGCCACGGTGTATTGCATCGTGCCACGGTGTATTGCACCGTGCCACGGTGGACTTTCCCGTGTCACGGTGCCCATTCCGTGACATGGGGGTTGTTCCGTGTTTTCTCCGCGTAAACCTGTAGACACCTAAAAATATCTCCCCAAAACCAAACCCGATGATGAACAATCTTTCACCGCCATTATTAGTTGGGTTTAGTATTTAATCCCGAGAGTGCTTAAAAAATCGTATTTAATTAAATTCAGTTTTTGAATAGTCCATGGATCAGTCTTGATGTTTAGTCAAAGCATAGTTCATTTTTAATTTTGGCCCAAACCTTTTTATTTTTGTTATTTTCCTTTATTTTATTATTTTGGGACAAACCTTTTTATTTTAATTAATTTATTTTATTTATTATTTTGGCCCAACTAATAAATAATAAATCAGAAATGGTCTGAAATTATCAATCAGCACTTTAAAAGGCTGAACGAAATTAGGGCAAAAATGAATTTAGACGGAAAAATGGACGCACAGTTTCCAGCGTCACGGCAATAAGCACCGCGTCATGAGGATCAATACCACGCCACGGTGGGATTCCCTGTGACACTGTGCCTGTGCTGTGACACGGGGCAACTCCATGTCCTTTCCGCATAAACCCTTCACACGTTTTATCTCCCGTACCCTAATTATTTCCTGCGTCACACTGTTGTCCACCGTGTCACGGGAGTTTGCCCCGTCTGACGGTGCCTGACACCGTGTCACGATGTGCTCTGCCGTGTCGCAGTGTTATTTTTTAGGGTTTTTATCTTTTTAGGGTTTCGTGTGTTCTCTCTACTCATTTTTTCTATAAATATATACCCCCTCATTTCTGATGTACGGGGCATGAATGAACTCTCTTTTTCTCTCTTCTGTGCTCTAGCCTAAACACTAGCCTACCCTTTTTCTTTCAAAATTCCCTCTTCAAGCACGCCAAGAAATCCATACTTTACTCGTGGTTCTGTCCTTAAGCCAAGGCATGAAAGGTAGAACTGTTTGAGGGTTTGGCCCCAAATCAACTCTATTTAATTTAATTTAATTTAATTATTGCTTTATTATTTTTCCTTGAAGTTACTAACTCGTTTATTATTTTATAGTTGCAAGCAAACAGAATCAAAGTAAGAATTATGTTCCTTTTATTTCTGTTATTTTTTTTAACGATTTTATATTGTTGGATTTATTGTTAAATTGCTTTCAATATTAATGCTTATTCTATTTATATTTATTGATCACCATATTGCATGTTTAAAGAGAAATATAATTGAAAATCACACCTAATAAGATAATTTGGACAACCGGTTTAAGTTCCTTTTTAATCTTGTTGTTTAATCAAGTGATCACAATATTTTAGAATTATGTGTTGCATTAATATTCAACCAATTTAGCTTAATAATAGTTTGGAGAAAATTTAATATTTTGTTTGTATGCCTTTGAGATCGCAGGAATCATTTTTCACTATAAGAATCGAGTAGAGGCCAATACGGGCGAATGTGACTCCATGACTGACTTCGTACCATCATCCTCGATCCTCCTTTCGTGGTTCCGAACCATATGGAGTTAGTAATCTCATGGATTATGAATGGGGTGTAACCTTCACGGGTCAATCGTTGTTGCCTATCGTTGTCCCTTTATCGTGGTTGCCTTTTATGATCCGTGAACGGTTTACAAGTGTAATACCCCGTATTTTTTTATGTATTTTATAAAGTATTTAAGTATTAATAAAATGTATTGTCAAGGGCTCGAGTATTTTAATTAAATATTTTAAAGGGTTAAATTATTTTAAATATAAAGTTTTATAAAAGTAAAATATGTTTTGGGCCAAACGTTTATTAATTATTGGGCAATGTAAATTATTCCTACATACTCTTATTGGAATAACTCATTCCAAAACCCATAACTTAAGCCCTATGCCATAACTCAAGCCCACATTTTTATAAGCCCAAATTTAACCCTACACTCTCTACTCTATAAATACCCCATGAATCCCCAAAAATTTCCCACACAAAAAGGTTAGTCTTATTTTCTCTCTCCTTTGTTTTATTAATTTGTGTAATTATAATTATTGATTTATGGGTTTTGATTTTATTGTTTGAAATTAATTTAATTAGTATCAAATTGTACTTTGATGATTAAACTTTATAATTTTCAGATTTTGTAAATTTTATAACCTAGGGTTTTTAATTATTGAAAATCATGATTTTAGGGTTTTTATGAATAATTGATTTAGGGCTTTTATAGTAATGATGTTTTGAAATGTTGGTGATTATAACTACTTATTAGTTTAACTTAATTCCAGATTATTTTGAACACGTAAATTCATGTTTTAATTATTAGATTTCGGTTCGTTAATATTAATCCTGTTTTAATCCCGATCAGGTTCTGAACTCCTCCGATTTTGATAAAAAAAAGTAGTGTTTTCGTGTGGAAACAACGTTTTAAGAAAGACTCTCTACCTTTGGTAATGAGCACCACCCTCTCGTGGCCAAATTCAGCCTTTAAATATGATTTTCGGGCAGTTTTTGATTTTTAACGAAGTTTTTTTTATGCTTTAAATTTTATCCTTGAGTTTAAAAGGGGTAAGAGATAATTTAATGTTTCTATGGATAATTAAAGTATAAAGATGTATTTTGATGAAGTTTTAAAGGATTTTTGATTAGTTTAAAATGTTGGAATTTTATTTAAAGTAGTATAATTGTGATTTTTAATAAAAGGGTGTGATTATCCATTAAAAAGAAGTTTAATTAGGGATTTTTAAATAATTTTCAGATTATTATAAGTTATTTAAAGTGAGTTTAAGTTGCTAGAAATTGTGTATACAAGGAGAATTAATACAGTATTATTGTCCCTTTATGTAGGAGACTTAATTCGGGAATTGTTGTAGTGTAATTGGCTACTTTAAGGGCTTATTTGAGGTACGAACGCGTACTTAGCATATTTTGATGATGTAGAATCATGCTAGGTTTGATTTCAATCAGT